GATGCAAGGAGTTTCATAAAACTAAAAATGACTTCCAAGATTCACAAAAGAGCTACTACATTGTTTATTCGGGCTGGGACTCTAACATCACTCAATCCGCTTGGATAATGGTAAAGTTAGGACTGAAGTTTCCAGAATCTCCGATCACTGTCATAAGAAAGTAAGCGTCTGGGGAGGGATCCATGTTCAATTTTCCTATATTGTACTCACAATTTAACGAATAATCATTCCCAGTCAAAACCCAAGGTACAGTAATTTCGATAGTTCCAAGGAGAATGTCAAAGTTATCAGCGAGGATCACTAACAAGGACGTTAGACAGAAAATTCTGATGTGGAGTGAGAGTGGGAGATATACAAAGTGTGGTGAAATCGGCGGAGCGAAACAGAATCGTTCCAATCTTGTTCGTGATGTTTGCAGGAGGATTAGAGACGTCCCTATAATGGAAAATGGTGAATGATTTGTGGCGCGAATTGTGACGGACAGAATGAGGGCTCACCAAGTAACGTTCTGCACAGATTTGCCAGTCCGCACGCTCGTACTGGTTGGAGAGGTAATGGGAGGGACGAACACAACGCCAGGGGACGAGTTGACACTTGTGGAGAGAAGTGTGAGGAGGACGAAACCAAGAATGTTTCCTATAACGGATCTCATGGTGGACGTGAACTGCTTCAGTTACCCAAATGGATGGAGCACTGGGAAAAGTTCGTTGCTTGAAAACTTGCTCTATATTCACCCTCGATGGCCCCAAAATATGCAGTTATATATCACAGCCGATTCGACTAGTCTTCATTCTCCATATTCTTCTTTCTGTGCACTCTGACTCTAGGTAAGCGATTTCCATACCCGCCATACCAATTGGGGAGTACCCTCCCATTATTATGTGCATCCAAATCGACTTTCGAACGGTCTAAGGGAAGCGATATCATACCTGCTATGCACCTAGCGTATTATATTTATCAATCTGTATCACGAACTTCATCACACAAACGCCTGGCCCAAACATGGACATTCAGTGAAGAATGAGAATCCTTCCAAGTCAGAAACCCTCAGCTGCTGTTGATCGAAGACAGAGCCCCGCGCGCGGAGCAAAGGACAAACCATATTATGAATTCCGCCGACAGGAAAGCGAAAATAAAAATCCACTTAGCAATTAAATATTCGGATCGAAACAGAGTGAGGAGAGAAGAATATGTCCTGATTAAGCACTTTGTAGTATGTAACCCCCTCTCGAACCCTGAACTCTGGACATCTCAATATTTCTCTCCTCTTATTCTTCTTCCACCAACACAAACCATATTATTTTTCGTGTATCCAGTGACCCAACCGACCGAGCCAGCCAATACTTACGAAGAAAGGTCGAAGGCAGCATCGATGAACATCTCAATTTCCTTCTTGTGTTGAGCCTATAAGAAAAAAGAGCATTGACAGTTAGCCGAATGCCATACTTCTCCAACAAAAAGGAAGCGAAGACGAACCTTCGACCCAGTAGCAACAGAGCTCGTGGGGCCCCTTCCAGCATACTTCGGGTACTTGCCCTTGTGGTGCTCACTGTGCTGCGAAGCAGTATAGATACGAGGACCGACATAGCTCCATGCACCGTTGTTCAAGGGCTCCTCCTGGCACCAAAGCTGGTGGGCATTAGGGTACTTGTCCAAATGAGGAGTGATCTATACATTGTTCAACAGTCAGCGCATCACTCTCGGTACGAAGAAGGAAGAAGGATTTGACAACGCACCAAATCGTAAGGGAAGGGCGAGATCTGTTCAATCCTGCTAATAGCAATATCCTTGATACCCCGTTCCTCTCGAGCGGCGAGAAGCGTATGGTATACTTGTCCTGCAAACATTTTGAGGAACAGATGTGAGTACGATAGATGAGAGATTACACCCACCAGAACATAAGATATGCTTCTTAACCTCCTCGGGGGCGACCAAGCTTTCAGGATGAGGGTCAGGAATATACCTCTCGAAGTGAGTATCTCCAACCATCTCCGACAGGTCAGAACGGGCTTTAGGATGACGAAGGAGACTCTTCGAGAAAAAGATGATGAGAGGCTTGCGGAAGTCACGGTGAATTTGACGACGGAGGACGTGGAACTAGCACAATGAGAAAAAAGTCAGTCAATACGCTAGCAAAAGATAAACAAAACCTCACGTAGTTAGCCGGAGTAGTGGGGTAGACAACTTGCATATTGCAATCCTGATGTTGCCTCTCAATCTTTTCCTGGCTTGGGAACACATTGGGATGATCATCGCAAAGCTGCAAGAACCTCTCGATCCTCGCGCTGGAGTGCTCGGGACCCTGACCGTCGTACCCATGCGGTAAACTCATGACAAGCCCAGACCTCTGCAACCATTTTCGCTCACCGCTCGCAATGAACTGATCGATAATACACTGCGCGTTGTTAGCAAAGTCACCGAACTGAGCTTCCCACATCGTCAGGCAGTCGGGGGAGACAAGCGAGTATCCGAGTTCGAAACCGAGGGTGCCGTATTCAGAAAGGGAAGAATTGCAGACGACAAAGCGGCTTTGAGAAGAACCGAGATTGTTGAGAGGGACGTATTGTTTTTCATTTTCCTGGTCGTGGAGGACGGCGTGACGTTGGGAGAAAGTACCACGCTCGACGTCCTGCCCGGACACACGGACGTGGTTGCCTTCGAGGACGAGAGCTCCGAAAGCAAGTGCCTCGGCTGTGGACCAGTCAATGTTGGTTCCTTCCTCGATAGTCTTGCCACGAGTCTGGAGGATACGACTGAGGTTACGGTGAACGTTGAAGCCATTGGGGTAAGTGGAGATTGCACGTCCGATGTGTTTGAGAGTCTCTTCGTCGGAACCAGTAGCGCGAGTCGGGAGGGTCTGGTCGGCAAGCTGCTTCGGTGAAGGGAATCCTTGCCACGAAGCAGAGAGCCACTCTTTCGACGTAGGCACGTAGTCCTTGGCCCCAGCGGCAGCCTTTTCGAGCATTCCCCATACCCACTTCTTGTGCTCCTCGATATCCCTCTCAGTGAAAGTGCCTCTGCCTATGAGGAATTTGGAGTATTGAGTGAGCGGAGTAGGCTGTTTCTCGATGGCCTTGTACATCCGAGGCTGGGTGAACATCGGCTGGTCGGTCTCATTATGCCCATATCGCCTATAACAAACAATGTCGATGACAACGTCCTTCTTGTACTTGGCTCTGTAGTCCGCGGCGAGTTGGCAAACGAATGTTACAGCCTCGACGTTGTCACCGTTGACATGGAAGATGGGAGCGTCAATGGATTTGGCAATGTCCGAAGGGTAAGGCGTAGACCGAGCGAAACGAGGGTCGGTGGTGAAACCAACCTGGTTGTTGACGATAAGGTGAATGGTTCCACCGGTACCATAGTTGGGAAGGTTGTGCATGCCCATAGTCTCGTAAACAATACCCTGACCGGCAAACGCAGCGTCACCGTGGAGCAAGACACCCATAGCCTTGTTATGCGACTTTTCGTCTTGCTCGAAATGCTGGATGGCGCGAGTCTTTCCAAGGACAACGGGATCCTCGGCTTCAAGGTGGGACGGGTTTGCAACGAGAGAGAGAGCGACTTTCTTTCCGGAGGGAGTGGGACGAATGTAGTTGGCGCCGAGGTGATATTTAACGTCTCCAGCGGGCTCATCACCTTCTGCACCGCTAAATTCGTTCAAAATGGCTTCGACGGGTTTCCTAATGACGTTCGCGAGAACGTTAAGTCGACCTCGATGCGGCATACCCATAGTGATATGCGAAACGCCATGTTCGACGGAGCGGTCGATGAGGGCCTTCATACCGGGAATAAGAGCTTCACAACCTTCAAGACCGAAACGTTTTTCATTAGGGTACTTGGAAGCAATGAACTTTTCAAAAGATTCGGACCAGATGAGACGGTCGAGGATCATGCGCTTTTCGTCAACAGTGTAGTTCCAGGGTTTAGGAATTTCAACTCGTTCACGGATCCAGTCGCACTGGTCCTTGTCGGGAATGTGAATGTACTGTATACCAACGGCGCCGCCTGCAGTTTTAATCAGTAAAAACGGCGGAAAAAAAAGGAGTAAGGATGACGCACAGTAAATACGTTTGCACAACTTGATAATTTCACCCAACTTCATCGTTTTACGGTCTTCCGTTGCAAAGTGGGGGAGAATACCGGGACCGAGAGTGATCTCCTTGTCCAAGTCACGATCGGTGAAGCCATACCGGCTGAGTTCGAGCTCGGGAGGCTGGATGTTGGCCAAGTCAGCGTCAAGTATGCCGAGGGGGTCGAGTTCAGCTACGTGGTGTCCGCGAACTTGATATGCACGGACAAGAAGTTGGACCTGCCAGACGCAAACAGACTGTGAGTTGCTTTGGCGGTTTTTTGCTTGCAGGAAAACTTGCCTTGAGATGATCGTCAAGCTCAGCTCCACCCGCGCCAGCATGCAGAGCGGGAGCGCCGTCAGTTGGAGGTGCAACGAGGCTAGGGGGAGGATGGAAAGCTACAGGACTGGGTAAGCCCTTGTCGAGGCCTCTAAAGTAGGCATCCCAAGACGCATGTACAGAGCTAGGGTCCTGCCTCCAGTGTCTGTACATTTCCTCCGCATAATAAGCATTAGTGCCGTTGGCGAAAATATCGTTAGGTGAAGGTGGGTTGGCAGCAGGAGTAGCCAGGTCACGTCGACGTGGATTCAGAGATTGCTGGGCTCTGGCCGCCACAGCAGCTGCTCTCGACGTTGAGGGCAGACGTCGCAGTGCTTGCCTGGACAACATTTGGAAAACAAGAAGGAACGTAGACTGAGCTACGGTATGATGGTGGTGGTCGCTGGTCAAAGAGAGAGCTTTACGCTTTTGGCTCACCCTCCCCCGAATACGTCCGACGTTGGTCCGACTCCGTCGAACTAGTGACTCATTCAAGATTATTCGCAGCTCATGTCGATATCGTTTTAACTCGGGATATAGTCATACCTTGGTCATACCTAGAAAGGCCAAAAAAGAAGAAAGCTAAAAACAGAATATTTAGAAAAAAATGGGCCTGACCGGGAATTGAACCCGGGACCTCGTCGAAAGACTAACACCCTAACAACGAATCATACTCCTAGACCATCAGGCCATGAATAAACTGAGTAAAGTTACTTTCTAGATGTCACTACTCGACCCGCTACCGTTGTAAGTTCGGCGTCGAAACAAAGCAATCCCACTTGTGCTTATGAATGAGAATTGTTGCTTGCAAACGACTGGAAGATGCACACATAAACACTCGACAGGAAAAATCGTGCGTGGTGACGGTACTGATGGGCATTGGCTGCATTGATTGAATTTCAAAACACCAGTGAACACTGCCAACGACCGGTGCTGATCTTGTGAGCTCTTATCATTGAATTACCCAAATAAATGCAAATCCGATATATAAACTACCACGAGGCGAAACCTTTCTCTCCCTCCACACCTCGGACGCGTTAACATTACCTTGGTGAGCAAGTCTTATCTATAACTCGTTCTCATAGCCCGCTGACTCGCTACAATCAGGACGAATCTCGTGCATAAGACCGAAATTATAACAGCTGATTACAGGTTCGTCATCATGCATAAATGAAGACCGATTTTCAAATCTCAATAATGACATTTTCAAGCAATGAGCATATTCGCTGAAGCTCACCATTTTGAGATCAGTGGGGGCAACTTTACTGTCATCAGTAAGCGAAGTCGAATCAAGTTTCTGGTACTTAATGCTAACCGAAAACAGCTGGCGACGAAGAACAGAAAATCAGACGTTGGCTTCAAGCCCCCGATTGTTCTGCCAATAAAACGGCTGCTTTGAACAAGAGGACCCCTGGAACAGGACAATGGATTCTAACGCAACCCAAGTTCACTGACTGGAAGGACAATTCCGGGACTCTTTGGATACAGGGAAAAGGTGAGATGAAAAGTCAGCTCAGGGCAAAAATTATTGAATATTGATTCTTCTCGAATCTCTTCTAGCTGGTTCCGGGAAGACAATTCTGCTGTGAGTATGATCACTGCAACAATCAAATTTCTTATTTCTCGTTCAAATTTAGAACCACTCTTCTTGAGCATTGCCAGAACCAATCACCTACCAGTGTTTGGTATCATTATTTTGACTCAAGGGATAATACTGGAGTTAAGACTGGATATACCGGCTTTCTGAAAAATCTCTTGCAGCAAATGGGAACCAGTGCAGAGGGGATTCATGTTGCCCTCCAAGCCTTGTACAAATCTTGCAAGCAAGGTCTCTCCAATGAAGAACCCTCTGATGCTGACTTAGAGAGTACCATTGCCTCTATCATCCAGAATATGCCCTCAGGGTGTATTATCATTGATGCTCTGGATGAGTGTAAAGATGTTTCACAACTTGCTGACTGGTTGATGAAACTTCCATCTGGATTTCACATTTGTATTGCTAGTCGTTACCTTCAAGAAGGCAAACTTGCTGAGAAGGCCCAATTCATCCAACTTGAAGAGTTAAGCATGAATGTGGCCCATGATATAGCCATTTATTTGGAAAAAGAGCTGGAGAACTTCACCTTCAAAGGAGATCTGAGGACTGAAGTCATCAAAACCTTGATCCAGAAATCACAGGGACAGTAAGTATATTTAATCAAACTTGAACACTATATCTTGTTTCTAATACAAGCCTTGGAGATTCCGCTGGGTAGATTGTCAGCTGAAGGCTTTGAAATCATGCCCAACTCCCAAGCATGTTCGGCAAGCATTGCAGAAATTACCAGATGATTTGCAACAGACATATATGCAAGTCATGAAACAATTGTCAAAAAGCAGATATTCGCAAGATGCTCAACATATTCTCTTGTGGATCACCTATGCTTTGACACCATTGTCACTTGCAGAAGTATCTGCAGTCTTGGCAGTTGATATAGAAAGCCAAACAGTGGAACAAAGTACAGAAATGGAAATCAACTTGAACTCCATTGTCGATTCCACATTTGTTACTGTCGGCAAGAATAACATTGTGCAATTGGCTCATATGTCTGTAAAAGAATTCATAACTACTGTTCATATGTGGAACAAAACAGTAGATCTGTTTGAAATCAATGAGTCTCTGGCTCATACAATTATTTCTCAAACTTGCATTCTCTATCTTATGCAGTTGAAGCAAAGCAATCTGAATGGTAATCTTTGGAAATTCTTTCCACTGGCCAAGTATGCAGCAGATCATTGGGCAGATCATGTACGGTCTGTAGAGAAATCAGATGGATTTGATGAATTACAGAGTCAAGTACATGTTATGCTGGATAAAAGTAATTCATATTTTGCAATCTGGGCCAAGATATATGAACAAGCTTTCTGGAATATATTACTCCATCGGTTTGATAATGATAGCCACATTGCAAACCCTATTTTCTATGCCGCTAAAAAAGGGTTAATTCTTAGTGTCAAGAATCTCATCAACAGGGATGGACTTAGTATTGTCAATGATAGAACAAACAATGATAGTACACCTCTAATATCAGCCATCAATAAAAAGCATATTGAAGTTATCAAGTATCTGCTATGTCATGGGGCTGATCCTGGAAAACAGTTCTACAGTTCCGGAGGCCCACTGCAGGCTGCTGTGTGTATAAAAAACACAGAAATAGTAGAACTTCTCTTAGAAAAGGGTGCACACATCAATGCTCAGGGTGGAAAATATGGAAATGCACTTCAAGCAGCTGCACATACTGGTCAGATAGATATTGTCAAACTTCTTTTGGAAAAGGGTGCTGCCATTAATGCTCAGGGTGGATCATTTGGAAATGCACTCCAAGCAGCTGCACTGAGTGGAAATGCAGATATTGTTAAGCTTCTTTTGCAAGAAGGGGCACATATCAACTCTCAGGGTGGAGATTATGGAAATGCTCTTCAGGCTGCTGCATACAACAATTATTCAGATATAATTGAACTCCTCCTGGAAAATGGGGCAGATGTCAATGCTCAGAGTGGGAGATATGGAAATGCACTTCAGACAGCTGCATTCAATGGACATGTAAATATTGTAAAGCATCTTCTGAACAAGGGCTCATCTGTCAATGCTCAAGGTGGGAGATTTGGAAATGCACTTCAAGCAGCTGCATACAAAGGCAGCATTGATATAGTCAATATTCTTATGGAAAGTGGGGCAAATATCAATCTTCCTGGTGGAGAGTACCATAATGCACTCCAAGCAGCTGCACACAGTGGGAACATGGACATTATCAATTTCCTATTGAAAAAAGGTGCAAATGTTAATGCTCAGGGTGGAAAATATGGAAATGCACTCCAAGCAGCCATTCATAAAGGCCATAAAGATCTTGTCAAACTTCTTCTTGAAGAAGGGGCAAATGTGAATGTCCAAGGTTGGCAAGGAAAGCAACCATATAGACCTGATCTAGGACAATACAGAAACCCACTTCAAGCAGCTATACTCCAAGGCAATGCTAATATTGTCAACCTTCTGTTGGAACATGGAGCTAATATTGATACTCAAGAAAGAGACAATGGAAGTCCACTCCAAATAGCTGCATATGGGGGACATAAACACATTGTTAAGCTTTTGGTAGAGAAGGGGGCAGATGTCAATGCTCAAGGTGGTGAATATGGAAATGCCCTTCAAGCAGCTGCACGCAAGGGTCTTTCAGACATTGTGGAACTTCTGTTGAACCATGGAGCTAATATTAATGCTGTAGGTGGAAAGTATGGAAGTGCACTTCAGGTTGCTGCATATAAAGGCATTGGATATGTTGTTTTTCTTCTTTTAACTAAAGGAGCAAATCCCAATTTGCAAGGGGGAGAATATGGAAATGCACTGCAGGCAGCTGCCCATAGTGGTTATCCAGACATTGTTAAACTACTTTTAAAGTCAGGGGCTCATGTTAATTCTCAAGGTGGAAGGTATGGGAATGCACTCCAGGCAGCTGCACATGGGGGCAATGAGAAGGTATTCAAACTTCTGCTACAAGCAAGTACAAATCTCAAGCTTAAAGCTCAAAGCAAAGAGTACAGACTGGCTGTTGAAGCTGCTGCTTACAATAATCATCTCAACATTGTGAAACTTCTTGTTGGGAAGGTGGCTCATGACAATGTTAATTATAAGAGTTTAATATATGGAAATGCATCACATGCAGCTGCACACTGTGGACACATAGATATTGTCAACTTCTTCCTAGAAAAAGGAATAGATGTCAATACACCAGGTCAGAAATATGGAAATGGCCTACATGCTGCTGCATACAGTGGCCATGCAGATATTGTCAAACTTCTTTTGGACAAAGGAGCTGATGTGAATGTTCAATGCAAGCAAGACCAACGAGCATATCAGGCAGCTGCTGTACAGTATGGAAATGCACTCCAAGCTGCTGCATTTGGGGGATATACAAATATTGTAAGCCTTCTTTTGGAAAGCAAAGCAGATGTCAATGCACTGGGTGGAAGATATGGAAATGCACTTCAAGCTGCAGTACACAGTGGTCATGAGGATATTGTTCAGCTCCTTTTAAAGTCAGGTGCTCATGTCAATGCTACAGGAGGGGAGTATGGAAATGCACTTCAGGCAGCTGCATGCAGAGGAAGAGAGAAGATTCTCAAACTTCTCCTGAAACAGGGTGCAGATATTAATGCTCAAATTGGACCCTACGAGTCTGTATTCAAAGAATCTGCCAAGAGAAATACTCCAGAAGGCCTTGGAGACACTTTGATCAATCTGTTGAAAAAGGGAGCAAATGTCACTGCAGAGGGTGGGAAATATAAGGAGGCACTCATGGCGGCTACATTTCAAGGCAAAACGGATGCTGTCAGGCTTCTTCTAGAGCAGGAGTCTAATGTTAATGCTCAAGGATCAAAATATGGATATGCTCTTCAGGCAGCTATATTGCAAGGTAATACAGACATTGTCAAGCTTCTTGTAGAAAATGAAGCAAATGTTAACATTCAGGGTGGAGAGTATGGGAATGCTCTCCAAGCAGCTGCCTTTCAAGGCAATATAGATATTGTGAAACTGCTCCTAGAGAAAAAGGCTGAGGTAAATGCTCAAGGTGGAAAATATGGGACTCCACTTCAGGCAGCTGCATTTAAAGGCCATAAAGATATTGTTGAACTTCTAATAGAAGAGAAGGCAGA